CAAAATGCTTGTTTTCCTCAGAAGTTATCTTTTGCAAAGTCAAAAGTACTTACCTGGAGCCAGCGCTGTGGTGTAGCCGGTAAAGCCGCTGCCTGTAGTGCTGCATCCCATATGGGTGCCGGTTCTAGTCCCAGCTGCCCCACTTCTGATCCAGCTCTCTGCTGTGGCCTGGGGAAGCAGTAGAAGATGGCCAAAGTCCTTGGCCCCTGCCCCATGTGGGAAGCATGGAAGAAGCTCGTGGCTCTTGGCTTCAGATTGGTGCTGCTCGAGCCATTGTGGCCAGTTGGGGAATGAACCAGTGGATGGAAGACCTCTCTCTCTGTAACTCTGACTTCCAAATAAATAAATTAATAAATCTTTTTTATAAAAAAGTATCTGAAGGTTTTGCTTTAAACCATGTGAGGCCAGTGAATACCCAGAGCCACGGTTTCTTTCTTCTAAGCAGGTTCGGGTGGCCTTGGGACCCTGCACCGGTGTGAGAGACCTGCAAGAAGCTCCTGGCTTTTGGCTTCCTATAAGCTCAGCTCTGGCTTTTGTGGTCATTTGGGGAGTGAACCAGAGGAATGGAAAAGCTCTCTCTATGGCTCTACCTCTGTATGTAATTCTGTCTTTCAAATAAATAAAATGAATCTAAAAAAAAAAAGAAAAAGACATCACCTGGGCCTTATGCCCGCATAAGCCCATATATGGGAGTCCTGGGTTTGAGCTCTGGCTGAGTCAGCTTCCTGCAGTCACGTGCTCACCTGGCTCCCGGCGCCGCCGGCTACTCCAGAGGGTTTCCAGAGTCATTTCATACTTCGGGGTTGCGCCCTGAGCTCGCGTCCGCGGCAGAAGACCCGTCTCCTCTCCCGCCCCCGGCTGCGGAAGCATTGACAGCAGCGCTCTGCTCAGCGGCCGGCACCTGCGGAGCGGACGGCAAGAGGACGGAACGCAGAGCGGCTGAGTGAATGAATGGCGAGCGGGCTCGGACCGACGCCGCTGCTGCTGGCAGTGTGGGGCACGCTGGGGGCGACAGGTAGGGCCAGGGAGCGGAGGGGACGGTGCGGTGTGGGGGGCCCGGGGTCTGGGGTTTGGGTCTGGGGAGAGGGGGTGGGAACGGGACGCCGCCGTCGCCAGCCCGGCTCGGAGCCCTGCTTCG